ATAAAAGGCATAGCTATTCTAACATATTAATAGCTAATTATAAAGATCATTTATATGTGCATGTAAGTTACAAAGCCAGTAATCTGATCTCTTACATATTAATTATTGGATCAATTAGAGAGGGGTGAGACGTTAGACTTAGAAAGTGATTATGGGATTAATTAATTTAATTTTTTTTTGGATTGCATGTTGCTGTCAATAATCAATAATTAATTAATGGAAAAATATGAATAATGATGATAATAATGTGTGTATATGTGTTTATGTATGTATGTATGTGTTTTATATGTGTGCATGTATGAGTTTTGGAGGACATTTTGGGAAGAAGTATGTTAACATCCCAATCCATTTTTATAATAGTATTAGATTACTCAACTATACATACCACTTAACGGTTACAACTATACTTAACAGTTAACAGTTACTTAACTATACTTAACATGGAACAGGTAAAAGTTAACAGTTAATCAACTATAGTTCACATGTATTAGATAAAACACAATAGTTAATCAACTAAATTTAATATTTAAAAGGAAAAAAGTTAACACTTACTCAAACTATACTTAATATAGAACATGTAAATGTTAACAGTTAATAGCTATAGTTCACATTTATTAGGTAAAACTTAATAGTTAATCAACTAAACTTAACATTTAAAAGAATAAAGTTAACACTTACTCAAACCATACTTAACATGGAACATGTAAACATTAACACTTAATCAGCTATAGTTCACATGTATTAGGTAAAACTTAGCAGTTAATCAGTTAAACTTAACATTTAAAAGGAAAAGTTAATACTTACTCAACTATACTTACATAGAATGGGTAAACGTTAGCAGTTAATCAACTATAGTTCACGTGTGTTACATAAAACTTAACAATTAATCTACTAAATATTTGTACATCCATTAATTCAAATGAATGTTTTTGTATGTAGGCTTTTATTTCTCAATTACAAACACATTATGTACAGACTACATATACTTGTCAAGCCAAAAAAATAGCCTATGTACAATATAATTTAAAACAAAAACTAATCCTCTCAACAATATCACTCGTATCTTATGAATGACCAACAAAAATAAAACAACAAAATCATAGCAATTTGAGCTGCTTCTTTTGATGAATTCAGACTTCAATAGTATGGAAAAGCTCCAAGCAACAACATTCTCGTGTGGCATTTAATCAAATACCTTTCTTGCATCCAACTACCATCTGGACTTGAAGTGCCAAAACCCTAATCCTAGCATCCAATTCTGCCTCAACCAGTTCTTCGGCCCCGAAGCCTCCAACTTTGCCATTGGGCACCAGTACCTTGCTCGAAATAGCAACACAGCCCGGTCATTGATTTGTTCTATCTTCCTCAACTCGGCACGCAGAACCTCATAATCAGGTCCCTCACATGCTGCCCACCTTTTTACAGTAGATCCTCGAACTCCTTCCACTCATTCCCCTTCTCCCTCATGCAATCCTTGGTCTAAATTTGGATATCGTACTTTAGCACCTTCTTCAAACCCTTGCACCTAGGTTTCTACACTTGCAGGAGCAGAATCGGGACGTTCTGAGGAGGGGCGGCGGGGGAAGAGGAGGAGGAGGAATGAGAGGAGGAAGGGGAGGGGGTTGGTGATTAGGGTTAGAATTAGGGTTTAAGAGAGGAATCAGAGGAGGTGGGAGAGAGAGGAGAGGATGAGGAAGGAGTAGGGGAAGAGGACGAGGGAATGAGGATCAGGAGGTCGAGGGTGGCAGCAAGGGAGGAGTGATTGTAGCAGGATGAGAAGGAGGTAGGTTTGCTAGGGTTAGTGTTTTTGTGCTTGGATTTTGAGATGGGGAGAGAGGAGGAAGAGATGGAAGAAGAAGGAGGTTGATAGTGCTTTTGAGTGGGTGAAGAGGGGTAAAACGGGGAACATGGGTACATATAATTTTTAGGGCCAATACACAAAGAATAAATATAAGAGGCTGAGCCACATGAAGTTTTCATTTTTTTGGAACCTTGACACAATTTTCCCTAATTATTTCTATCGATGGCTCTATTCGTGGTTAGACAAATTCGTAGTTTCTTCTATTTATATACAAAACTTAGGTGGAAAATATTGTAGTTATATTTGTAATTCATCCAAACTGTACAACAAATAATTAATCTCCAAGGACAACTCTTTTCTTCGCCATCTGCGAATAGATTTTATGCGTATCTTAATAAGTTATGTGTGAACATGCAGAGTTCTTCTACAGAATTGATTGATTGTGTTGATATCTACAAGCAACCGGCATTCGACCATCCATTACTTCTGAATCACACACTGCAGGTTTATCTAATTCTTTTTGGACTTCCGTAAACTACAAGCGAAACTATCAAGTTCCTTTGATTTTTAAACACCACAAGCCATCATAACACTTGGACATTAATTTTTGTGAACCGTCATCCGTGAATAATGCAGATAGAGCCTAGCTTAAAGGCAAGCAACAAAACTACCCATGAAGTGGATTCTCCGACTAAAACTCTTCAGGGTTGGCATGCAAAAGGAAAATGTCCAGAAGGGACAGTCCCAATACGAAGAGTTAGAAAGGTGGATATCCTGAGGGGAGCCTCAGTCGAAAGCTTCGGAAAGAAACATCCATCATTCCATATTTCGCGGGAAAATGAAGAACCTGCAGATACTGTATCTAATGGGCATGAGGTATAAAGTTTAAGCCGTAAATAGTATATGCCTTTAGTATTGAACTAATTAAATGTTTTCCTGGTGCAGCACTCTGTAGTTGTGCAGAGTGGTGATCGATATTACGGAGCGAATGCTGACATAAACTTGTGGAGTCCTCGTGTCAGACCCAATGATTTCAGTCTTTCGCAGATATGGATTATATCAGACGAGAGCATTCAGAACACAGCTGAAGTAGGAATCATGGTATTGTCGTCTTCACTGTTTTATAATGACAAAATGCAATCTACTCCTCTATACGAATAGGAGAACCCAAGATTCACTATTCATGCTATAGTAATGCTACAATAGCATTTACTATATCTTTACTGTTGTAGCAAGCAGATGGATACCACGGTTTTTGAAAAAGTATATTGCAGCACACGAGAATACTATAGTGGGGGAAAAAAATATCCCGTGCTTTGCACGGTGTTCACACTAGTAGTTACTGAAAGGTTAAAATAACCATTTTGATAATCCATTAAAAAAAACAAGAATACTCATTTAACCTTGAAAATTAAAACAAGAGAGTGAACGTTTTGCTGCGTTGCTAAGTTAGATAGTTCTATTTCTCTTTTTCCCCAGTTATGTTACCCAAAAACAACTCAAAACAATGTTTTTCATCTCATTTTAGGTATATCCAAAGCTTTATGGAGACTATGAGAGTAGACTCTTTGTATACTGGACGGTACAGTACACATAATTCTATTGCAATTAGGAGTCTCATTTCTTGTATTTTATTTTCTCAAATGTTCCTTGGATTATCCTGAATTACACAGGCGGATGATTACAAGAGCACAGGTTGCTACAATTTGATCTGTTCAGGTTTTGTTCAAGTCAGCAACTCTATCGCCTTAGGTACCGCATTTTCCCCACCATCTACTTATGAAGGGGTTCAGTACAGCATCACTATCTTCATTATCAAGGTAATAAATTGGGTTTAGCATATAATTTCTACTTAATTTATTATGCATATCTTCGCACAAATAATTACCTGTATATAATCATTTGAGTTCTCTAGTCCTTGGTGAAAAGAAAATTTGTCCACAAATTTTTAATTAGTTAGCTGTTTTGTTATATGGCATTCCTAACGATTTGTTTACCAAGTGAACCAAAGCCCCTTTTCTGATTAGCGCTTTATTGTAAGATTCGTGTGTCAATATAGTCTCATATTGAAAAGAATTAAAATGGTACTGGAGTTAACTACAAATTAGGACTAATTCCTAATAATTTAGGCTTCTAATCATGGTGTTTTTCTTGTTATGTTTTTGTAAAAAGCACCATGGTGTTGTGTTTTTCCCTTAAAACGTTTTCAAAACACCATGTTAAGTGTTTTTGGTCAATACTAGTTTGACTCATTACAACATTAGTATTAAACATATTATTAATATATTATATATTAATTAGATAAAATATATTATAAATAAAATATTATAATATGCCAACAGCTTCGGTGCTCCCAAGCAGTTGGTGTAGTTTGTTTCCTTAAAAATCTCTCTCACATCCTAAATTTGAGGGATAAGGTAGTTGACAGTAGTTCCACACCCAAAAAAGTAATTTCACTTAGATAAAAAGGTTATTTTAGGAAGTATAAATAAGAAGATAAATAGGAAGTAGTTAGAATTCTCCAACTAATGAAAAACTCTCGGTGTCTTTATTTTTTTGACGTGGTTTTCTTCTCCAATCCCCTAATTCATTGCGCGGATGGCCAAACCTAATGGAATTTAATTTTTGATATGGTCATCGATCCTATGAAATACTTCATACGAGCGTCTTCTTTCTCTAGAGTAGTGAGCCTGAGATCATGAGTGTCGCCACCGGGCCAATCTGATTGGAAATAAATTGTTTTTTGCATGGAGGAACTGTAGTATGAGCCCGGCATTAATTGGCTTTCTCTTAGGCCTTGGGAACCTTCATTCGATTAATTTTCAACTAAACAACTGAGATTTTGAATGAACATGATTGCTTTGTTTAAGTTCATCAACATGGTTGATGGTCGATTTTCTTCGGATCCAATTTCCTTGTATCGCATTCAATCACATGTTAGATTTCTTGTTGATATCTTTATTGAGGAATTTTCTTAGCGTAATTCACCTGTGATTCTATTTAAACGGATTTATACGCGTTTGATGGAATTCTGTGGATGAGAAATTGGTAGGGACGAAATTTTTTTGTTTTTCCAAATTTACCCTTTTTCAAAAATAAATTAATAAATGATTTTAGGAGCACCGAAGCAAAGCCCTTATAATATTTAGTTTACATTATTATAGTATTAGAAGTATTAAATATAATACAATATAAAATTATATAATGTATTATATTATAATTATTACATATTATTTTTAAATAATTATATATTTAATTATTTTGGTATATCAATTTGTTATTGTTATATATTATATTAATATTTTTATAATAATGTTATTTTATTATTATATAATATTATACTATTATTAATATAATATAATATTTTACTATTATTCATATAATATAATATTATTAATAATGTATATAATATATTAATATTTTATATATTATATTACATTTACTATACAATATATTATTATAATATTACTATTATATTATTATTTTATTTTTAAATATTTTACTATTATATAATATTTTATAATTATTAATTTATTACAGTTTATTTATTAAAAAGTTAATAATATTATAGCGATTATACTATTGTGTAGTATATTATTATATCTTTATTATATTATTATTTATTATCAATAACTTTTTATTAGTTTATTTATATTTTATTATTTTTTATTATTATTTATTATTATAGAATACATTGTTAACATATTAAATACTAGTATTTAATATGTTATTATAAAGTTATATAATATATTTTATTTATTATATTTTTATATTATTTAATAAATATTACTAATATATTAGATTAATTATAATATAGTATAGTATAGTATAGTATAATAAGCATGTTGATAATAACTCTATGTTAATTACATTTAATATATTATGCTAGATATTATATTAACACTTTCTCAAACTCAAAACCAAATCACCAAACTTAAAACACCTTTTAGGTGTTTTGAAATAAGTGTTGTGTTTTTGGTTTGAGGATGATTTACCTTAAAAAACACAATGATTTCCAAACGCATAGTGTTTTGTTTTTGGCAAAAACACCATGAAAACAACTAAAACACCATGGTATCTAAACAGAGCCTTAAATATTAACTTGATTTGACTATCAATCAATATTTAATGTCTACTAGTATAATATATGTGTGTTTCATGTAGATAGTTTTGTTTCAAAGCAAAAAAAAATAATATTCTAAGTAATATGTCATATTTTCGTGAGTATTTACTTACAGTTTGGATCCTATACAATGAATAATAAGTAGTTATTAGAGAGATCCAATTATCTTAGACCACTTTCTTAGATGAGACATATGAATTCTTTGTCTTACCTTTTTTTTTCTAATCTTTTTACATTATAAATGGGCTCAGCTCATATTATTTTATTTGTATATTATAGGTTTTATATATTAGTCCCTTAAATCTTTTATGTTTTGCAATAAGTTCCTTAAATCATTAAAATCAATTTTAGATCTTCTCATTTTTTATTTACTCTAGAATTAACTGCTAAAATCGTTGAAATTGCTATTAAATCCCCTATTTCTCACAAGTTATTTCAAATTAATCGCTCGAATTATACATCAACTCTTTATTGGATGGATTAATTTCAAAATAATTTAAGAATTAGGTATCATAATAGGAGTTTCACTAATTTGAGAGACTAATTTCAAAGTAAGTACGAAGTTAGCGGCCTTATAGTAATATGAAATATTTTAAGGAGTAATATTTTAAAAAAGCCATTATTTTTATTATTGTTTTTGAACAAATGGGTTGCTATAAGTATCCTTCAACCATGTCTTCTATCTCTGTTCACATGGAACAAAGAGGGAGAGGGAGAAGAGGTAGATTGTAAGTGCAACCACATTTGTTCTCATGAATCCGTAATGGAGATCTTATGAATTTGGTGGTTTCTCCTACCGGATGGGTTTATAGTTGGTCATTAAGAAGACTCCTTAATTATAGCAATGAATGATCCAATATTTTCTAGATAAAATGTGTAGTAAATTCAAGGTCATTACCAAAATAAACTTTCATGTGTAAGATTCGAATTCTCATTCTGCATGATTTAGAATACAATCATTTCCACACAAAAATAATTTATGTCATGCATTTATCGAGTTCTTTTGTAAACAAAGATTTTTAAGCATAATATGGATCAAATTAGCATGTAACTACATTTTATGTGTATTAAATATGGAGAAACGTGAAAAATGTATATTCATATACAACACAAAATATTTCCTATTATTCATCGGCAACGCAGCAAGTTCCTTATTAATACTCTTGAATTGCATGCACATTCTCATCTTTAATCATTGCAATGATAAGTTTCATATGCACCAGATCCAACAGCAATAGCCTCCTCATCCCCATCAATAACCACGATGGATACCCCTCCTCCCCAATTGTCGTCATAGTCGCTTCTGTTGACATCGTGTTTGTCGTTAGCTCTACTAACCACTTTGTCCAATGTTTATTCCTTGATGACGGATTTATTGATGTGGAGGATGGCGATTTAGTTAGCGGCGTCAATGATGTGGCTAATGGTGACCTCTAAGATTGTTTTTATTAGGCGACATGGATGTGGGTAATGGCAATCCTAAGAACATTTTCTATTAGGCATTACGGATATGGGTAATGGAAACCCTAAGAAGTAAGAACATTTTCTATTAGGCATTTGACTGATGTCAATGTTGCGCATATATAGAAGAGAAGAATTAAGGTTAAAGATTGAAGATATTAGTCATTAGAGGTAGGAATTAAGGTAGGAATGGAGCTTTGGGTTTAAGGTAGTAGGTATATATGAGAGGAGAATGAGTGTTACAGATGATAGAAACTAAAGGGTTGTACGATTAAATTTTAGATTAATGGGACATTAAGGGGAGTAGTGGGGACATTATGGTGATGATAAGGGTTGTACGATTAAATTTTAGATTAATGGGACATTAAGGGGAGTAGTGGGGACATTATGGTGATGATTAAATGAATAAATGGTGTGTTTTTATTAATGGGACATTAAGGGGAGTAGTGGGGACATTATGGTGATGATTAAATGAATAAATGGTGTGTTTTCATTAGCGATAATAAGTGTGGAGGTTACAATAGTGATGGGTGTTTAATGGGGTTGATATAGAATTTAAATGGATAATTGTATGTGTGTTCATGTACGTATGGATGGATGTGTAGCAGGGGTTAATTATCACATTATATTGAGTATATTTATGTGATCATGTACGTGTATGTGCATTTGTTTGAAGGCTTTTTGGGTAGAAATGTTTTAACATGGCAACCCACTTTTATAATAGTATTAGATGCATAGATTTGACTACCAAACAGGCCTAAGTTATCCTTAAAGCAAGTGGTATCAAGAGTACTGATTCTTGTCTGACAAACCAGGATAATGACTATAGTTATGATTCAGTTTCATGAGAACCTGTCGCCGGCGCATATTTTAATTAATCTTGGCTGTTCTGTCTTCCAAGGATCCAAAGAGCGGGCACTGGTGGTTATCCGTTGGGGGTTATTGGGTCGGGTACTGGCCTGACTCCCTCCTACCCGATTTACGAAATGGAGCGCTTTACGTAGAATGGGGAGGCGAGGTCTATAATGATGATTACCAGCAAGGGAGCACGACTACAGAAATGGGAAGTGGTCATTTTGCTGAAGAAGGCGCAATGAAAGCCGCGTTTTTCGATAATCTTCAAACTGCTGATGTTAATGGCAAATTTCAATATCCTACGTCGCTGCGGGCTATAGTTGAGAAACCCAAATGCTATAATTTGGTTGCTGGAGACAAATATTTCTACTATGGGGGCCCCGGAAAATCGGCTGAATGTCCCTAAAGACAACATCCTCAGTTGATATATATATGTATAAGGTTTGCACTGTTATGAATGGGAACTAAGTGGGTTTGCTTGATGTGTGTAATATGAATAAGGAGGAGAGAGGACATGCGTGTTCTTCTCTCTCTCTCTCTCTCTCTCTCTCTCTCTCTCTCTCTCTCTCTCTCTCTCTCTGTTTGTGTGCTTTGAATAATGAAAGAGGGGAAGTGTGTTGTATTATGCGTGCCAATTATATTGAAAGCTTGGTTAAGCCCTCCAAAGGTAGCAATCAACAAAGCACGCTGAGATTTATATTTTTCTTCTCAAGGATATATAATGAGATTAATCTTTTGTAAACTTTAACTTTGCATTTAAATTATGTAAATCAAGACCTTAATAATTACATCCATACTTAATTAAGATCTTAGAACTATATGATTATCACATGCATAACAATTAAGGAAGAAGACATGCCTTGATCCATATTAGTGGCAAATGATTGGGCACAAGAGCCCTTTTGAACAAACTAGTATAGTGCACGTGCGTTGCACGTGGACATATTTGTTTTATGTTCTAATACTTTACACAATTCGCACGTGGACATATTTGTTTTATGTTCTAATACTTTACACAATTCATTATTTAATTAATGGAAGAGTTTCATTTTGAATGTAATTATAATACTTTACACAATTCATTATTTAATTAATGGAAGAGTTTCATTTTGAATGTAATTATAACAACATTTGATGACTTAATTATTTGTAATTTTCTTACAATTTAGATCATATACTTCTTTCAATCTTCTTAAGATTTAAGTTTTGAACTATATAGGGGTTTATCTGTACAAAATTATGAAGTTTCAGTATTTTTCTATAAATATATGAAATTTCAATGGTCTTTGTAAAAATTATGAAGATCCATGGTTGTTTGTGAAAAAATTCAGGGTTATTTTGTGAACATTGGCAAATCATGGAATACCCAAATAATATAATTTTTTTAATTTTAAAAGACATAGTTTTATTTACTTTATAATTTAAGATAATGAATGTCATTTAATAACTACTGGTAGTTTTATGTGCAAATTTAGAATATAGTTTTAACATTAGGGAGGTTATAATATACTTATTATATAAAAAAAATACTCAAAAGATAAAAAATCCAAGTTTGTTCTTTACTTTTATGTAAGTGTGTCATGCTATTCCAGTTTATATTAATTATATTTATTTTTGCTAATCCATTATAACAAAATAAAATTCTCACTTTCTCCTTCTCTCTCTTCTATTATCATATAATTGGTAACATGCTACAAAAAAAACATATCTACTAAGTTCATGGATAATACAATATTTCTCTCAAATCACAATTAAGTACATAGTAATAATTATAGAAATAGGAAAAAAAAAAGTTCATTAACCCCCTCCCCCCCTACCCCTAAATAAGACCTCAAACTTTAGCCTCAATCCGAATTCTCCACATTTCCTTGTATCAATCGTATCCTCAATCCGCATATAGCCGCCAGTCTAATAATTACATCAGTATAAAGTATAATCCGAGGTAAAGCTTAGTACTTCCTCAGCACGACTTCAATCGTCTTCACCCCCACCTTTGTCGTTATTTCTTCTGAAGGGATAATGTTTTCACTTGCGAGCTTGTATCATCTAAATAATATCATAGTAAAGTCATGGGGTGAGTATATGATGTTGTTAGGATTGTAAGAGGTGAGTGTAAATCTAAATCATCAAATGAGTGAATTTATAGGTTGCAAGTAAGGGCTATTATGATAAATAAAAAAAGGCAGGCTCTTTGGATTCAAGTGGAGAGGTTACAAAAAATAGAAGTTAATATTAGTGGACAAGTAATAGGAGAGTTATGCCATTATTAAGAATGTATGCATGTAAGCATTTTAAGTTGACACTTTGTTTGCAACTTGAGACATATATTATTAGTTTGTCATATGTGTGTGCATTCAATTCTCAGCTATTATGTCAAATACAACTTACAATCTTAAAAAAAATATGATAGCATTAATATTGGATTAGTGGAGGGGTTACAAAAAAATAAAAGTTAATATTAGTGGACAATTAATAGGAGAGTTATGTCATTATTAAGAATGTATGCATGTATATGTATGTGTTTATATGTATGCAAATTTTTTATGATAACATTAATAGTAGATTAATGGAGGTGTTACAAAAAATAGAAGTTAATATTAATGGAAAATTAATAGGAGAGTTATACCATTATTAAGAATGTATGCATGTATATCACTAGTAGAAAAACGAGCAACCTAGACGGAAATTTCCGTCTAGGTTGATCCAAATCCCGTCTAGGTTAGTTCAACTAAACGGAATTCCGTCTAGTTAGATCCGTTTATTTTGCTTCCGTCTAGGTTGACTCAAACTAGACGAAATTCCGTCTAGGTTGATCAATCTAGACGGAAGTCAACCTAGACGGAAGTAAGAATTCCGTCTAAGCTGACAACCTAGGCGGAATTCTGTCTAGTCTGTCAGACTAGACGGAATTCCGTGTAGGTTGTGTTAACCTAGACGAATTTTCGTCTAGGTTGATTATGACAACCTAGATGGAATTCCGTCTAGGTTGAGTCAACCTAGACGGAATTCTATCTAGGTTGATATTTTTTCAGCAAAAAAAATAATTATAAATTGTATTTTCCTGTACAATTCCATTAATGAATACATCCAGAAAATATTGTACACATGAATACATCCAACCATCCAAATATAATCAAAATTCATAACAATTTTATTCAAAACCAAATATAATCAAATCCAACACAATGCACAAATCCAACCATCCACTCCAAAATATACATCAACCAGTTCCGTCTAATATATACATCCAACAACATATATACTAACAATGTACATGACTAAGATAGGATATACGATATGAATAAATATAGTGTTATAACAAATAAAACTGTTTATTGCATTAAAAATAAAAAAAACCTCATCTATCGTCGTCGGCGGGAGTATCTCCATCCCGATTACGAGAACGGGTGCTGCTCCCTACAATATCTCCACTCTGAATGTTCAATTGAATAATCATTATGTGGTGTTTGATAACATATTAAATAAAAATGAATTTATAAATATAAGAAAAAATAAGGTATATGAGCGCTGCTCTGCCTAGCGCCGAAATTATCACCAATCGAGCTTATGATCCGTATGATACCACCATACGTGCTATAAGAAATCACACCGCCTAAATATTATATAACATACCCCATGAGATCGTCCATCGAGTTCGTCGTTAGCGCAACTCTAGTCATCTCATTAGTCACCTGAATATGCAGCTCCGGGTCAATTTTGTCAATCAAATACGCAGAGATACGTGCGACAAACGGCATAGCCTGGAAACTGCTTGTGGCTGCTCTCATTGATGTAGATGGCGTGGAGGATGTTGTGGATGATCTCATGCTTATGTCGGGTGAAGATCCGACACCATACAGAGGATATCTTCCTCTCCTATTATTAGGGAGAAATAAATATTAAATTTTGCTCTCAAATTCAATAATGGTAAACAAAAATAAATAGTATGTAGTATTCAATTTGATTCATTTTTTTACCATCCATACCTATTATGACCCATCAGGTTCTGTGTGAGAGTGATGTTCTCCTCTGCAGAAAGCATGTGAGGGTCCGGCTCGGTTTGTTCCTCCTCCTGCGAAATGTACACAGATGCAGCCTCCTTGGATGCAGCCTCAAATCCCTCCTAAAGCACAAATCTATAGTTAATTCAATGTAAAGACCATATTATTTGTGTTCTCATTTCCTCATAATGTTAACAACAAAATAGAGTTGATAATACTACTCAAGATGTGTATAAGTCTCACCACCAACTCGAGATTTGCCTTGATCTTATCCCGATTCTTCTCATCACCCCTATATCTATCACGAAAAGTACTGTTTGTTGGAAAATTTGTGAAATGAAAATGATGAAAGAATTGTGTTTGATTTTATTCTCTCTAACTACTTAGAAAAAGAATGTTTATAATTCCCTTAACTCTCAATTACAATCGAATTCTTGATTATAAAAGAGAGGAGAATGATCTGGATTCTCCCCTTTGTTTAATTCTGGGTTCTTCACGGTGGCGATGGAGTGCCTCCTTTGAATGCTCGCGTCGAATTTGCTCTCCGTTGACGATCCGCACGTCTTGTTTTACTGGAACGTGATCTTCTCCTCACGATTTAACGTTGTGGAGAACTTGCGTGGCAAGTTTGAAATTTACTCTTAACGAGTTAATAACTCAGAGCGAGTTTTAGAAGAACTTGCAGAGCAAGTTTTGAACTCTGATCGAGTTGATAACTCTGAACGAGTTTGAAACTCTATGAAAGAGTTGATTTAACCGAAATCGGTTTATAAGCCAAGGATGAAAGCTCTCTGTTGTTGAACGTTGCTGAAGGATGAACGTCGATCTTCCCCTCGCTATCAAGTCGAAGATCTCCTCTTCGCTGCCAAGTCTTAGATCCAAAAAGCCAGCCTCAACTCAATTGAGTTTCCCACTATTTATAGGGGATTTAGGGGTGTAACCACTCCCTTAAATCTCTCCTTAATGAGAGTTTAATGGGGTGTAACTGCCCCCCATAAATCTCTCCATGATAAGGTAGTGATCCCCTCTAATCGTGGGGAGAAAACGGTTCTGGAATCGTTCAAATCGTGCTTGAACGAATCAAATGCTGAAAACAGCGTTCTGGGCCCGAACTCGGTGTTTTAGACCTGAAACGCAGAGTTGGTCCCGTTTTAGGCTGAAAACGCACAGGTCGCACTGCGCAGAGATGAACTCTGTGTTTTGGACCTGGGACGCAGAGTTGGGTTCTGCATGAACTATGCGTTTTTTGGACCTGAGACGCAGAGTTGGGCTCCGCATGAACTGTGCGTTTTTGGACCTGGGACGCAGAGTTGGGCTTCTCATGAACTGTACATTTTTGGACCTGGGATGCAGAGTTGGGCTCCGCATGAACTCTGCGTTTTTGGACCTGGGACGCAAAGTTGGGCTCCGCATGAACTCTGCGTTTTTGTCGTTGAACGCAAAGTTGGACTCTACGTTTTAAGTCCACGAACTCTGCGTTTTGACTCTGTAATACAGAGGCGAACCTTAGGCGGGCTTGGCGAGCTTCAGCCTAAGTCCAATGTTCTGACGAAGTCCAGTCTTGCAGACGGACTTCAGAACATAACTTGCTGCGAAGAACAGGTCATAACTTTCAAACCGT